GCCTTATCTTCATTAGCAAATAAACATTTAAATCTCAGCATTATTGGAAGATATTACAACATCTTCACCGAAGGTCTCTTAGTAATCGAATCATCACCACCATTCAAAATACATTTTCAAAATCATTTTTATATAATATACAATCATTAGGGCAAGCATGTATCTTTTGGTAATAACTAAACCTATAGGACATGATATTTTTTTGCCTCATAGTAACTACTCTGGAGTTCATTACCCTCCAAAAGTATCTCTTCCAACAGTCTAAGCAACTTTGTGAAACTCTTATTGTTCTACCCCTATTTCGCTTTCAAGTTAAACAACTTCAACACTGCTATTAATTGTGTATACTTTATGTACCTTGGATATAAAGGCTTTTTTGAATCATTGCACAATATATCATATTTGTGTGCTTGCTCAATGCCTTCAACACCAATATCATATAACATATCCTTTACTTAATCAAGAAAATCCACATCATCATCCTCATTTTATGGCACACTATGTTTTCTAGATTTACCATTAAACACCCATTGTGTATATGCTTTGTAAAAACCAAAACAAATCAGGTAATTATTTATCTCCACAAAACATCACAACCCATTCAAACATTTAACACAAGGACAATAGAACAATCCTTTATTATTAGGAACATTGTTATTTATAAATTCTAAAATTGGTCTACCCCCTCTCATATTCATCACTTATCCTCAAAGCATCTATCCAATTACGGTTCGTTATTACCTAATTCAAATATGAACATTTAGTTTATCTTTCAAAATTTAAAAAAAATTAATAGTATAACGAATTATAAATTAACATTTCTCAAGCACTAAACCCTTCAATTAAGGTTATTGGTTTCCAATAAATCACCAATGTCAACAAACTAAATACAACGCATGATATTATCTACTTATCAAACATAAACAACCACACAATTAACAAATGAGAATTATGTTTAAACAAATAATTTATGTTTTGAAATTTAAAAAAAATTAACAGCATAACAACTTATAAATTGATATTTCCAAGGTACTAAACCCTGTAATTAAGGCTATTGGTTTTCAATAAATCACCAATTAAATTAAATCCAATGCATGATATTATCTACTTATGAAATATAATCAACCACACAATTAAAAAATTTAAAATTATGCTTAAACAAATAATTTATGTTTTGAAATTTAAAAAATATCAATAGCATAACGTCTTATAAATTGACATTCCCTAGGTATTATTAAACCCTCAAATTAAAGTTAATGGTTTCCAATAAATCACCAATTTTAGTAATAAGACAACTTAATTTGAACAAGTTAAATCTAACAACTTCATTATAATTAAGTTTAATGAAATTATAATTAAAAAATACATGGTTAATTTGCTGGAAACAGACACATTAAATTGAAAAAATGCTTGAAAAAAAAGGAAAAAGTGTTGAAGGATGGAGGCGAGCTAAAGCGAAGAAAATTTAAAAAAAAATTTACCAAAGGAGGCACGTTGAGGGAAAGGGTGGAGGTGGAAGCGAGTTGGGAGGTTGAGGCGAGTTGGAGGGAAACTAAAGGAAGGAGCTGGGAGGGCAAGGAGACATAAGGGAAATCAAATGAGCTACAGTTGGGAGATGGAGGTGAGGTGGAAGGTGGCACACAACTGAAGGCAACCGAGCTGAGGGAGGCAGAATGAGCTAAGGAAATCGAAGGAGGAGCAGAGGGAAGGGAGGAGGTGTGAGGAAGAGAATTATTTAGCTAAGGGAAAGTTGTGTGCAAGTGGAGGGAAAGCTGCATCTAAATGTAGAGCTAAGGGTTTTACCCTTAGTCAAAGTACTTATGGTGACAGGTTTATGAACCAATTGTTACCGTAAGTTCTCATACAGCATTTGGCACCGATGATAGTCCCTCATAAAGACTGTTGCCAAATGTTGTCTAAAAAATAAATAATAACAAAATAACTTAATTTTTTAATAAATAAGTTTAGTTGATTAATTAATTAATAAAATAATAATTTTGAATTTACTATACATTATGGCCCTTAGTGTGTCTAAACTCAAATACAATTATTGTGTCTGATTGTATTTAAATTAATTAATTAATTATATAATTAATTATAATTTTATTAATTAATAAAATAGTTAATTAAAATATAATTACTTACAAATTACATAATTATTTTTTTACAATGTCATTAATGTGTCTGATTTCAAACACATTAAATGATATTTTAATTAATATTTAATCAATTATTAATGATATAATCATTATTTTAAATTGCACTTATGATGACAGGTTTCCCAAGAGATTGTCTCCATAAGTGTGTCTAAACTTAGACTCAAATAGCATGTCTGAGTTCAAACACATTTAATTATATATTTAATTTATTAAATAATAAATATAATTAATTAAAATTTAATTAATTAAAAATTATATAATTATTTTTTTACTGTGTCTGAGTTCATATATTTTAAATTATATTTTAATTAATTAATTAAATTTTAAGTAATTAATAATTACATTATTATTTTTTAATGTCCACTTATGGCAACAGGTTTGCCATGGACTTATCGCCTTAAGTGTGTCTAAACTTGCTTTAAATTATATTTTAATTAATTAAATAATATTAATTATTTAAATTTTAATTAATTAATTGTTTCATAATTATTGTTTTAAAGTTAACTTATGGTGACAATTAATCCTTATGATTGTGGCCATAATGTCTACATTTTTCCACTTTTTTTACAAGTTAGCCACCATATCATTTATTGAAACAATTATTTTGGAAATTGTGGCAAAAAGTGTGACATTAAAATCCTATTTTGCACTAATGTGAGCTTACAAAATTTCTTGTTTTCCTACTCAAAAAAAAACTAGGAATGAGGAGTATTAAGTGATTTACCATTGTAGAGCTTGTGCTTAGACTATTTAGTGTACCCTGGAGGGTGAGAACCAACTATAGCTTCATGTGGATCATGCCTCACACCTTGAGATTTGTCCATTTCTATCAAGGATGATACTGAATTGCAAACAGTGTGGATGGCTGAATGAGTCAAATTCCACTTTAGAACAAATAGCTAAAACTGGATCATCACTTTTTCTATCCATTCATTTGTTGAAGATTCTTCAACAACAAAAACAAAAATAGATGAATTTTTTTTTTTCAAAGCTCGCTGAGATGACAGATTCATTCTTTTGTTGAGAGGTTTTTCTCAAGTTCTCTTGTTTTCATTTTACATTTAAGGGTAACTAGGTAATTTTGTAATGAAATTAATTTCATTTAGGTCCCCCAATACCGTAAAATAATTTTAGAATTTGTTGATCCGTTTGTGAAATTATCTTGCTTCAACAATCTTGTAGTGAAATTCTCCCTTTTTTAATTTATAATTATATTAAAAATTTAAAATTATTAATTTGCCAACTAATTCTCTTCTTCCTCTCCCAATTTAAGAACCTTTAAATAATTAAGTATGTTAATATTTAAAAAAGGCAGAATCTCACTTGGGGCCCTCAAAATATAAAAATTTACATTTAGGGCTAATAAAATCTGAAAATGCACTGCAGACCTGATAATGCTTCTTGTAAATTTGTTGTGGATAAAAAAATGCATTTGCCTTGTCTCAATATGTTCATTGAAGCAACATACTTTAAATTAATGTCTGCTAGATGTGTTGTATATTCATAAACATTATGTTCAAGATTCATAGACATCATGTTGTGTATATATGGATATTCTCTTGAGATAAAGGCAGATGCATTTTTTCATCCACAACAAGTCCTCTAGCTTGTAGTGCATTCTCATATTCTATTGGGACCTAATGCAATTTTGTGTTTTGGGGGCCTTAAGTAAAATTTTCCCTTTAAATAAATAATTTAAGAATTTTAAGTTAAAATTAATGAAGTTAAAAAAACCATAAGTTATATCAAGTAATTATCATATTAAATTCTTATTTTTTTACTAAGCGATTGAATATTATTTTACCAATTTATATGTTTATTTTTTTTAAAAAAAATTAAATCACATCAAAATTGTTCATTACTAATTCTTCTGCCCTTCTATTACAATTACTAAATGAATATATAGGTTAAAAAGTATTTTTCTTCTCAACTATTTTCTCAGGAGTACCTTGTATTCTAAACTTTTATATGGTGCAATTTTTCTCTTCAATTTTTGAAAATAGTGCATTGAGTACCTTACTATTAAAAAAAATTAATTTTGATCATTAATTAAATTATAGAAAAGGGCCTCAAAGATTATACAAAAGGACCCATAAAATTACATGTAAGTACCCAATAAAAATTAATATTAATTAAGTTTCCTAAATTACATATAAATAATAGGATACAAGTATTATTTTGGTCCTTTTTTGTAATTTTTTCTATAAATTTTGGGTCCTTTTTCTGTAATTTTTTTTCTAAATGTTATACAGTCATTATTTGCAATTTTTGGGTCTTTTTTTTTATAATTTTTAGATATATTTTTGTAATTTTTTTATCAATGGTCAAAACTAATTTTTTAATGATAGGGAACTCAATGCACCATTTTAAAATGTTGAAAGAAAAAAATTACATTATGTAAAAATTTAAGATATTATATACTCTTGAAAAAATAGTTGAAGAGTAAAATGCTTTTTAACCGTAAATTCATTTATGTAAAAAAATTTAAAATATAAATAAAAAAGTCAAAAAATAAATGTATTAATTTTTTTGAGTTATTTGAATGATTTTTAGATGTAGTTATGTATAAAAAATATTTTAATTTAAGATATATAATTTAATAATGATTGGATGAACGAAAATAAAATTTTAAAAGTAAAGAAATGTTTGATAATTATTTATAGTAAAAAAATTTATATAGGTTTTAAAAATAAAATAGAGATAATTAATATAAAAAAAAGGAGATGCTATTATTTTATTTTAATTATAATTAATTTTTTGATTTTTTTAAAATTTTTTTATAGGTGGAATATCATTGGTGGTTTTGTTTTTGCATTTGTGCACATCAGCCCTTGACCAACGAGAGCGAGGACGCCCGCACTCTTGTTCGAATATGCTCGCACCCTTGCTCTTTGCTTCTCTCTCTTTCTCTGTCTACCTAGTCTGCCACACAAACCCTTGCTTTCGCTCTTGCTCTCACTCTTCTCGTTACTGAACCCACAAATCCCACAAGCAAAATTCTCAATAGTAGAACGTAGTAGATAGAAGAAGAGTATAAAAAGGTAGTTTGGGAAACCCGGAAATGGATTCGGATCAAGGGAAGCTTTTCATCGGTGGAATATCATGGGAGACATCGGAGGATAAGCTGAAGGAGCATTTCAGCGACTATGGCGATGTCATTCACGCGTCAGTTATGAGGGAGAAGAATACTGGGAAGCCTAGAGGATTTGGGTTCGTGGTGTTCGCAGATCCTTCCATTCTTGATAGGGTTCTTGAAGACAAGCACGTTATTGATGGGAGAACGGTGAGTGGGCTTCAACTTTATCTTATTTAGTGTTATTGTTTTTGTTTATTTCATTTTCCTGTACCCCTCTCTATAGCTGAAGTCGTCTGGTCTTCTTGCTTCCGCTCATTGTGTTGTTTATTGTTTGCTTGATTTTGATTCCTCTCTTTTCCTCTGCGGAGAAATTTTTCATGGTACTAGCTGCTTTCTAACTGCAATTTTTGTTATAACTGATTTGTTTGTTGAATCATAACTTTATTTTGGGTTGTAATCACTTCCTGGTTTGGTATTGAGTTTAATGCATTTTTCTTATACTCTATGTGCTTGGTCTTTTCTGATATTTCAGTTATATCTTCTCTGGATTGATAATATTCACTTATTAGTTATTAATTGATCTATTATTTTTCGTATGGATGTCTGTTAAATCATAATGAAATGGGCCTGAACATTTTCTGAAATCATTATGAAACAGTAATGCCATTTTTGTCTGTTGTGGGTGAAGAAAGGCTTCCTAGTTGCTAGATAAATTAGGCCGTGCAAGGTAGTCAAAGATGAAAAGTGCTCTTAAGGCTCTAGACCCCTCAAATGGTTTGGGCAACAGGCGTTAAGGTGGCACATGCTGGTGAAGCAGGATATTAAAATGGAAAAAAGGCTAAAAGTATGCTATATTAAAAAATTGTTCATTTCAAATGACATTTAAGTGATAAATTGGCTAATCAAACATGATAATCTGAGGCATGAGTCATATTAATCATCAAATTCACTGATTGAATCACTAGCAGACTTGCAGTTTGGTATTTAATTTTGTAACTAGTTTAAAACATTTGGCTGGAATTCCTTTCATAAGAGGCTAAGTCAGGATAACCAACCGCTAGTCGCCTAGGAGAGACAAAAAAGGAGGAAGACAACAGAAGCAGATGCTGTTATGCGGATTTTTAGGGATGCTGATGATTTGAATTAATCTTATTTTAATTATTTTCTGCTATTTGCTGAATAAAAGGACCTCGTGGTTGTTAGATTTGGTTCTTAACATTCTTTTTAGTTATTAGGTTAATTGAGAGATATTTGGAATATTTTCTGATATTTATTAATTATTTTCCTCCATCTTCAGCATTATAAATTGACTAGCAGTCTCAAAGAGTAGTCATATTTGGGTAATAAAATTCCAATTTATCATATGTGAAGATTCTCCTAGTATTTTTGCTATTAAGAGATTAATAGTGTGAGATTCTTGCTCTATTCTCTCTCTTTAGAGTTGCTTGCCTCTTTATTTTTACTGTTAGTTTAGGGCCCTACCAATTTGGTATTAGAAGCTTGTTCAAGATGGTGGACATGCATCTTGGAAATCCTACCAACACCTCAAACAATCCTCCACCTGCCAACTCCTCCAACAACCCTACAGTTGCCGGCTCCTCTAGCAACCCTCCACCTTTTGAACCTCCAAAGAACCCGCTTGAAACTTCCTTCAATTCATTGGCTTCCCTAGCTTAAAAACTTGAAATGCTTGATGTTTTGACAGCTAAGGTTGCTACACTTGAAATGTCAAATATTACTCACATGGACAATGGCAAAAAGTTGGGAGGGTCATATCAACAGTAGTCTTCTTGTGATTATGACATCGAAGAAGATTATGATATGTAGATGGGATATAGAAGAGGGCCTTGACCACCACACACCAACATTGAATTTCCTAAATTCAATGGTGGTGATCCTCAAGTTTGGATTTTAAAAGTAGATTTTTTTTTTGTATTATCAAACGTAAGAAGATTTGAAGGTTGATGTTGCTTCCTTCTATTTAGAAGGAGATGCTTTGGATTTATGTTCATGAATAAATTTAGAGTCTACCTTACTCAACTGGGACAAGCTAGTTAGAGCCTTGCAAGAGCATTATGGTCCTCTTGAATATCAAAATCCGAATGAACACCTTTGCAGTTGCACCATCAAGAAAATTGGACTAGTTCAAGAGTATTGTCATAAATTTGCAAAGTGTGTTGCATGAGTTCACAATTGGCTAGAACATAGCCTCTTAGTGTCTTTCTCGACGGGCTCAAGGTTGAGTTGAAGGCTGATGTGTGAATTCATATGATAGACACAGTGTATAAAGCTGTAAGCATAGCTCTAGAATATGAGTCTAAGTTGCAGGTTCATGAACCTAAGCCTAGTATTTACTCCCAAGCCCCATGCATGTCGCTACCTTCTTCATATCAGCCCAAAGATGCACGTGACCTTAAAGGGACTTCAATCACGTCTTCCTCTTCGTATCACATTAACATAGCTCCAACATCTTCCGCACTCACAAAATCACTTGTGATGTTGGCTGGAATCTCTCCCACTTATTTTGAAATTCAAAGGTGAAGGGAGAAAGGGTGTTGCTTTTGTTGTGGCAAGTTATTCAGAGTTTAGATCATGCATTGTTGCAAAACTTGTTCCTCCTTGCTTATAGAGATTGACGAGAACAAATAGCCCATCTTGGAAGCTTTGGAGGGCCTGGACGACATGGAAGTAGCAATCGAGGAAGTATAGAAGAGAACATATAAAGTTTGCTAGTCCTGTTGCCAAGAAGGAAGGTTCAAGGCTGTGGAGAGATATAACTATAATGTGCAATAAGATTCAAGGGGATGTGGGGAAAGAAGTGAAAATGGTAGGAGCACAAGGGTGTGGTTTGGCAATTGGTTGGGTCAAGATGATTCACCTTATAAACAGTTTAAGTCCTCCTCTCCTTTGGAGGATGATCTAATGGTTAGTGATCTGGTTAATAGTGAACGAGGATGGACTACATAGTTAATGGAAGAATTACTTCCTGAGTAGATGGTATAGAGAATTACCACCATGCTACCTCTTGTTCATAAAAGTGATGAGGATGTGGTTAGGTGGAAGTTAAGTAATGAGGGACCCTTTACTATGGCAAGTACCTATAAATGGCTAAAAGGGGAAGATAAGCTGCAAGTTAGGGGAGAATGTAGAATTATTTTGAAATTAAAAGTATTTGAGCATATAAGAGTCTTTATTTGGTTGTTGTTTAATAGGAGATTATTAACCAAAACACATGCTAGTAGATGGAATGGAGGCAGTGACTAGTGCAGGGTGTGTTATAGGGGACAGGAGGATCATTTGCATGCATTAAGAGGTTGCCTATATGCTACTTGCTTTTGTAGAAACCTTGTGCCTATTGAGAATAGATCTGATTTCTTTTGAGATAATTGGAATGAATGGTTATTTAAGAACATCAAAAGAAGAAAGAGAATTGAGGGCATACCTAATTGGAGGGAAGTTTTTAGCATGGCGTGCTGGTATATCTAGAGATGGAGAAATATCATATACATGACCATGTTTTTGAGGTTCCTAGTAATGCTGGGAACCAAAGTTTATTCTATAAAGCTACAACCAAAGAATGGATGTTGGTATTCAGTGACAAATTGAAGGAAATCAGAATGATAAAGTGGATGGTGCCTAGGGAAGGATGGTGCAAAGTTAATACTGATTGAACCATGAATAAAGAGGGCTTAACGAGAGTAGAGGCGTAATACATGGTGAATGTGGAGAATGGGTAAAAGGATTTTCTATCAAGCTAGGTATGAGTGACGTGAAAACAGTAGAGGCAAGAGGTGTTCTTCATGGCTTGCAGATTTGTTAGGGGCATGGGGTTTAAAAAGGTTCAAGTGGAAAGTGATGTGCTTGGAATCATTAAAGCACTACAACATAATCAGATTATTGAGGGTTGTTACTTAACATCTATGAGATTAAAGGGTTTTCTAAACTATGATTGGCTAGTGGAGTTTAATCATGTCTATAGGGAAGGAATTAGATGTGCTCATCAGCTAGCTGCATTGAATTTGATTCAACTAGTTGCTTTTCTACCATTCAAAGACAACTACCATGCTATTCCTCTTCTACAAGGTGCTCAACCTCCTAACCTGTGACCCTATTGCTACCCTTATTTTCAAAAGAATGAGATTGAATGACAAGTTGATTATTTAATGATGATTTAGTTTCTTTTCTGCCATTTAGAGACAACTACCATGCTATGCCTCTCCTATAAGGTTCTCAACCTCCTAACCTGTGATCCTACTACTACCCTTATTTTCCCAGAGAGAGAGAGAGAGAGAGATTGAATGATAAGTTGATGATTTATTGCAGAGAGGTTTTGTATAGCCAAGTTCGGGTCCCTTTGTGAGTCCAGTTTTGTTGGTAAAGGAAAAGGATGACTTTTGGCAATTCTGTGTGGATTATAGGGCTTTGAATCAGATCACAGCCTTGATTAAATACCCGATTCCCAACATTGAGAGCTTCTTGATGAATCATATAGAGCCACCTATGTTTTTAAGATTGACTTTTGCTCTGGTTATTACCAAATTCAAGTGTTACTAGCTGATATTCACAAAATGGCATTCAAAACTCACAGTGTCTCTAAGAATTTGTTGTAATGCCATTCAGTTTTGCAAATGGACTGGCCACCTTTCAAGTGGTAATGAATGATCTCTTTTGGCCTTGTGAAAAATTTGTACTCATCTTCTTTGACAACGTTCTCGTCTACAATCCCACTTCAAAGCAGCATGAAGAACATCTTTGATTGGTATTAGAACCTTGCAACAACAATCATATTATGCCAATTTTAAAAGTGCTTGTTTGGGCAGACTCGAGTGACCTTTTTGGGGCATAGAGTCTTAGCATAGGGAGTTGAAACCAATTTTGAGATGATAAGCATAGTGAGTGAGTGGCCTATACCAACTAATGTGACCAAGCTTCGTGGTTTTTCAGCCATTACTAAAGGTTTGTTAAAAATTATGGTATTATTGCTTATCCTCTTGTTGAACTTACCAAGAAGAATGCCTTCTGCTAGTCTTCGGGAGCCCAAAAAGCTTTTGAAAAGCTTAAGTTTTATCTTATTATTATCCTGGTTTTACGGCTTCATAATTTCAACTTAGAATCTGTTGTAGGGTGTGATGCTTTAATGGAGGGTGCCAGGGCTATTCTTATGCAGATTGGAACAGGATCATCCTATTGCTTTTTATAGCAAAGGACTCTCATTTTCCAACAAGTTTCAATTTGCCAATGATTGAGAGCTTTTGGCGTTAGTCTTGCTGCTCCGAAAGCGGTGACATTACTTGTTAGGGAGGCCCTTTTGCTGTGAGGACTGACCATAATGGCCTGAAGAATCTCTTGGGGCAGTGAGTTTTAACTAATAACTCAATAGAACCTCATTCTTAAGCTCCTCCTGTTTGATTTTTTCTGTTGTGTACAATGCTGGTAAAGAGAATGTTGGGGCTAATGCATCGTCTATGAGGTCACAACATGCTGATTTTCTTAATCTGGTGATACTTTTGCTGTTTGATTTTCTAGAATTGCAAGAGGCATTGACCACCGATGCTTTTACCACTCCTATTGTTGCTGCCTGGATGGAAAATTCCAGGTCTAGGCCCAGTTATAGTCTGGTTGAGCAGAAGCTCTACTTTAATGGTTGCCTAGTGATTCCTCAGAGCTCCTCTCTCCACTGCAAGTTGTTGAAAGAGGCTCATGTTGCATCTTCTGTTGGTCATAAGGGCTTCTTGAAGACTTTAAAGCAGTTGTCAGGTACTGTTTATTGGCCCCAAATGAAATCTGATGTGAAATCCTTGATTGATCTTTTTCCATGTTTCTTTGGGCCCTACAAGGTCATAAGAAAGGTGGGACCAGTGGCTTATGAGTCAGATCTACCTTCAACAGCTAAAATCCATCTGGTTTTCCATGTCTTGTTGTTGTGACCTGCTCATGCACAACTTCCTCTTGATCCACCAGCAGAATTGCCACTTTCAGGAGATTTTGAGCTTGTTTTGGAGCCTAAAACAGTGCTGTCTCATTGCTTGAAGGGACCTCATTTGGAGCTGTTGGTTAAATGGGAGTCCAGATTGGAGGAAGAATCGAGTTAGGGGGATTATGATATGTTTGCACTGCAATTTCCCAACTTCTGCCTTGAGGTTGAGTCTATTCATGGTGGGGATAATGGTATACGTTGCGTCGGTGAGGAGAGTAGAACGGATAATCTTGAGTCCTGTAAAGAGAGTAGAGGAAGACTAAAGAGAACACATACAAGTTGTTGAACAAGATATCTTAGTTAACAATATTCTTAAAAGCTTAGATGATGATAGGATAGTATGGTGTTGTGTAATCTATGTAGCTGATCCCACCTAATGGGATAATGCTTGTTGTTGGAGTAATGGTAAAGGCCAAGTCAACATAACCAACCACTAATCACCTATCAGAGATGAAAAGGGAGGAAGATAACAGAAGTGGATGCTGTTATGCAGATTTTTAGGGATGTTGATGATTTGGATTAATTTTATTTTAACTATTTTCTGTTGGTTGTCCTCTAGAATGTTAGATATGGTTCTCAACATTCTTTTCAGTTATTAGGTTAGTTGAGAGATACTTGGAATATTTTCTGATATTTATTTATTATTTTCCTCTATGTTCAGCATTATAAATTGACTAGCAGTCTCAAAGGCTAGTCATATTTGAGTAATAACATTCCAGTTTATCGTACTTGGAGATTCTCCTTTTATTTTGGCTATTAAGAGATTGGTAGTGTGAGATTCTTGCTCTATTTCTCTCATTTTAGAGTTGCTTGCCTCTTTATTTTCACTACCAGTTCAGCGCCCTACCATCTTTCCTTTAAAGCATTCATTACTAAAGCGTTTCAGGGGCTCACCTTGAGTAATGCTAAAATATTGCCTCATGGTCTGAGTGGCGCTCTAGGCTTCTTTCAAATCATACCTCAGTGCTCAGTGTTTAAGACACTGAGGTGAGCCTGAACCTTTTTGACTGCTTGACACAGTTTATTTTGATTGACACTGTAAATTTGCATTTTATGATTGAGGGAGGTGGTTACGAGGCATGTGTTTGTGTTTTATACTTTTGGCTGGAGAAACATATCTGCTAATTTTGATTACTATTTACAGGTGTCATCTAGCATAATGTTATGTTGTTACTATTGAATTTTCATTTTAGTAATATACTTATTGTCCATTTTGGCTCTATTATAATGGTGTAATGTTGAAGCTTGTTGAAAGTTATACTTTTTCTCCATGAAGTCTTTTTTCTTTTTTCAAGGGGGTGGTTTGGATATTTGTTGATTTTGCCAAATTATGATTTGTTTCCTTCTAAAGCATGTGTGAATGCCTATCTTTTGACTGTGTTTACTTGTTTGCACGGATTAACATAAGCATGTTTTGAGGATAATATTAGCATTGTACGTTTTGGGATGTATTGTCAGGTTTATCTTCTTCTTCTTCTTCTTCTTCTTCTTTTTTTTTTGCGTAGAAGTTGGAATTTGTTCAAACATTGATAATAGCACTCAGCTTGGTGATCCCAGCAAGTAATCTGTTTCTTATTTTTAATATTTTGTTAAAGTTGTCATCTCTTTGTGGACTTGCAGATGTCAACCTGTAATTGTATGCTTTTTTCCTCTACCAATTATAGGCCTTATTAACCATATTATTTTATATAATATTTTCCAGGTAGATGCCAAGAAGGCTTTATCAAGAGAGGATCAACAAATTTCTGCCACTTCCAGAACTGGAAATCCCAATTTTGCCAGGAATGCTGGAAACGGTGGAAATTTGAAGACCAAAAAGATCTTTGTCGGAGGATTGCCTCCCACCTTGACTGAAGAAAAATTTCGCCAGTATTTTGAGGCTTATGGCCATGTAACTGATGTTGTAGTCATGTATGACCAAAATACTGGTCGACCACGAGGATTTGGGTTTATATCCTTTGATACTGAAGAGGCAGTTGACAGGGTTTTGCTCAAGCCATTTCATGATCTAAATGGTAAGCAAGTGGAAGTGAAGCGTGCACTCCCCAAGGATGCCAATCCTGGTGCAAGTGGCCGTATGATGAGTAGTGCTGGGTATCAAGGGTATGGCGCTTCGGGTGGTAACCAAAATTCATATGATGGTCGGATGGATTCTAGCAGGTATGTGCAACCTCAAAGCACTGGGGGTGGATTCCCACCTTATGGTTCGTCTGGATATACTGCTGCTGGGTATGGCTATGGTCCTGCTAATAATGGCATGGGTTTTGGTGGGTATGGAGGTTTTGGTGGTGGTGGTACTGGGTATGGTGGACCTGCTGGTGCAGCCTATGGGAGTCCAAATGTCCCTAATGCTGCTTATGCTGGTGGCCCACCAGGTGGCCCAAGGAGTTCATGGTCTGCTCAAGCTCCCTCTGGTTATGGTTCTATGGGCTATGGAAATGCTGCTTCATGGGGTGCTCCAACTGGTGGTGGCCCTGGTTCTGCATCTGCAGGTCAGTCCCCTGGTGGAACTGCCGGATATGGTAATCAGGGTTATGGATATGGTGGGTATGGCGGGTATGGTGGAAATGATACTTCATATGGGAATCCAGGTGTATATGGAGCTGTTGGAGGGCGTTCTGGAAGTGCTCCCAATAGTAACACTAGTGGTCCTGGAGGGAATGAATTTCAAGGAAGTGGTGGCAGCTATATGGGTAGTGGCTATGCTGATGTAAATGGAAATTCAGGATATGGAAATGCTGCATGGAGATCTGATCCAGCACAAGCGCCCGGAAGTTATGGTACTCCTCAGGGAAATGGTCCACAAAGTGGGCAAGTTGGCTATGGTGGTGGCTACGGTGGAGCTCAGTCCCGGCAAGCCCAACAACAGTAATTTTGACAGTTAGATTTCTGATTGGATCTTCGACATCATTTTGTTGACCCCTCCCTGAGTATTAATTATGATCACACAATTCCTCTTCAGCAGCAATGGAGTGTGGCTCAAGTTCAATGTCAATACCATTATGAGACTGGTTGGGTTGCCTGAACCCCAGTAGTTTGCAGTACTTTTTTCTTTAATTTATAATAATTTTTTTAAGGATATCAGATTCTCCTTTTCTTCCCCTTTAATAGCATCTGCTTGTGTGTAGCTCTAAATATGCATACTTGCGATTTAAGTTGATCTTGAATTCTGAGTTCTTATAGCATTTCAGTTATTGTTTACCTCGTTTGTTTGGTGCTGTACGTTGCCATGGTCATCTTACTGTTTAAATAGTTTCCCCTCCTTGTTTTCCCCCTCCTGGTTACTGTCAAGCGATAAGAAGTCTCTGTTTACACTCTCAGCTTTAGTTGTTAGGACAAGTAGAAATAAGGAGATTTAGTAATAGCAAAGTATTTACTGAAGTTGGGGATAGTGGTAATTGAAGCTTTTGAGGATGGCATAATCATATTACTCCTGGATTTGCACTTTTGTTGTACAGGAGGAGAGTTGCACAATTACTGAAGCTGAGCCAAGTGTCTGCTTGAATTTGGAGTCCCGACCTCGTTTGTGGTGAAATTTGAGGTAAAGGAGTCATGCCTATTTGACTAGAGCAGTTTGACTCACTTTACAATTTTGACCTTAATTTGGAGATTCTCTTAAGTCTTAGGTTCCTTTTGGTTGTTAGAAATGAATAGAATGGAATTGATTAAAAAATGAAGGCAAAAATAAGATAATCAAAATGTGGATGGAGATGGGTGAACCATATTCTTTAGAGGGAAAGATAATTTAATTCAGTTGGAAGACATGATTTATGTGGTTTTTGGGGGTATGATGATTCTAATATTTATAGCATATAGTATTGAGTTTTATCATATTTATTAGGAAGAAGGGTGATTTATCTCATTTTCATTTTGATTTTTTTAATCCATTCCATTTCTATCCTTCCTAATAACCAAATGGGATGTTAGATTTAACATGTGATTGTTGATGCTAGAAGATCCTAACCATTTCCCTGTTTAAAACACGGCTATGATTGTAACTGAAGATTCTCTTATTATGGACAATTCATTCCAAGATGGATAGTACTTCATCCTTTTCTGTTTTGTCCTCATTCTTCACCTTTTTGGCCATCTTTCTGTTTTAGCTTGTTTCCACTTTAGGGGTTAAGTTAATATGGTGTGACGTGGCACAATCTATAGCTCGTATGAAGTGAATTTTAACTGAAGTGAGGAGAGAGAAAAAGAACAAGATGAATACCTTTGTCAAATGGGTCTCACAGAAGTGAATCTCAAGTTTGGGTCCCTCTTCTTTCCTCACTTACATTAAAATCACCTTTGAGATCTTATTTATTTGTGGACTAGTGATGGGTTGATATAGGTTGATGCAGACTGTACTTGGAGTTGAGAATAACATTAAACGGGTGTATTTTGAATGTGTACTTCGATTAGATTGGGAAGTTTTACATTTCTTTTTTTTTTAATATTCAAGCACACTTATTTCTTTGACTTCGTTGCTTTGAGTTGGAATTTTTGTACTTTTGTTGGTTTCAGCCTTTTTTATTGTGATAGTGTGAAGTGATGTCTGTCTTCTGGTGGTGAAAGATTTTATTTTGTATTGTCTGTTGTGATGAATTTTTGGAACATTTCTTTTTTTCTTTTTAAATTAAGGTCAAGCTTCATTAAAAAACATAAAAAGATTAAAGAAGAAACTCCTCATTGTCCATATGAAAAGGAATTGCTAAACATGACACACAAAATGCAAACACAATGAAACAAGCCACGAGAGGCCAAACTTTTTCAGTCCATGTAGACGAAAACGAGCTCGATGATGGCAATTGGGATTGCGGCGAGTTGATACTTAGTATCGAGTCATTAGATAACCTCTCGTAGTATTTAGAAAACCACCATTGCTTAACACATGAATCAATGGCCTTTGAAGATTTTCATTCGCACTTTGGAACAGTGGTGGAGCTGCATATGCTTGATGTCCCCTCAATTTGGTGTCCCCTCAATTTGGAAGAAATTATAAATAAGTAGTGTAGAGTTTTTATATTTTATTCTCTTCAGCTCTAAAATTTTACACACCTTAAAATCTACTTTTTTTTTAATGTTTTAACTTAAGCTTAATTTTAAATCCACCAATTCACAACTTTAATATGATGTTTAAAAAAGAACATACTTATTTATTTTTTTTTTTTTTTAATTTTCTGCTTAATGATTTTATATTTATATTTTTATATATAAATAATATCATAAATTAGTGACTTATATTGAAGAAAATATTTTTAATAGCATTTGACAATGAGTAGGGGACAATTATAAAATATATAATTACTGTTTAAAAAATTTATTATTTTTAAAATTAATCTGTACCTTTTGACATAGGGTTCTAGCTTTGTCACTGCATTGAAAGATGACTTTGCATGGAAGATCACATACAGTTGTAGAATAGAAAAATCTAAAACGATAAAGCAGCACTTCTTCTTTATTATCTGGAACCATTTGTTTAGATACCTTCGACGTACTCTTCCTTCCCAACGCTCGCTCCATCTTCAAGGTTAGAATGTCGCCTCCTCCCTAACTTCAAGCTAATCACAAGCCCGTTGCCCCTAATTACCTTCCTTTGCTTCGACATTGGATGGAATTGGTTTCCCTGCTCCTCTCTATGATGAGATCTATGGCCTAGATTTAAAGTAGTATTATATATTATATTTAATTAAATAAAAATTTATAAAAATTATAAAATAGTTTTAATAATTTTTTATTTTTAGTATAGTTTAGATTTAATTTTGAGGGTTCAATTTAATATTATAATTGATGTATATTAATTATCTAATGTACTCTGCACAGTTCAAATTAATAATAAATTAAATCTGGATTGTGTAGAGTACATCTGGATAGTCAATATATAACAATTATAAAAATTTTAATATTAAATTGGACATTCTAAATTAAATCTAAATCAAATGAAAAATAAAAAAATTTATTAAAATTGTTTTATAATTTTTATAAATTTTTGTTTTAATAAATATAATATATAACACTACTTTAAATATGGACCATCTAAATTAAAATTTAAATTGTTCATATTTCATTACAGGAATGAACATCATAATATATAAAATTATTTAAAATCTAGACCATCTAAATTAAATGCTCATCCCTGTGATTGACATAATGATGCTCATCCTTACGATGAGAGGAAACCAAACCCACATTTGCTAGTCTCTTCCTCCACGTAGGCTTCGTCTTCTTCCTTGAATGCATCCTCTTTGGTCTTGATTATAGTCTATTCTTTGGACATGGGATGGTCACCCAAGCCAACCGAAATACTGAAGACTTTACGATTCGTTTGTTTTCTATTTTTAAAACTGTTTTTTTGGTTTTTAAAAACAGAAAAAATTGAAAATTTGTTTGGATAAGTGTTTTTTATTTAGTTATTTTCAAAATTGTTTTCATCTTTTGTTTTTAAAAACAAAAAATAGAAACAACTTTAAGTTATTTTCATTTCATTTTTTTATTTTTTTATTTTTAAAATACATTACATTTGATTATTGTAGATTATAATTATCTTGACCAATTTTTATTATTAATCTTCATCATTAACTGTCTATAGTCATTGCTATCAATTCATTTTTTAACTCTAAAACTGTTTTTTAATTGACATGTTGTGCTCCGCAAGTATACGGGTCGTAACAAGTAATAAAGTGTGAGTAGAGTATCATTCTCATGAAATTTGTTTAAAAACAATAGTCAAGCAAAAGATTTAGCAAATTCAATCAAGTTGAGCTAAACATAATTAGGTGAAGATTTCATAAATTAAATTATCACTAGAAAATAAAATAAAGAGAATGATTCAAGACTTTTTGAAACTAATTAGGCTTAGGATTATTTATCCCCCTTTATACTTCAAGAATACTCAATTAGCCCCCAATATATTTTACTTTTAATGATGAATTATGCTAGTCAAGGATACTAAATTACTCACAAGTGCTTTCTCAAGTCTCCAAGTAGGTGTTTAGTTTAATTAATCCCTTAATCTTTTAATCAACTAATTAAATTCTAATTTTCCTTGCAAATCCTATGTGACTTTGTCAGGTTAATGAATGTATCTTTACTTCATTAACAAAACCATTCATTCAATTTGCAAACTTCAAGTTCTCACACAATTTAACTCAAGTTCTCCACTAAACATAGCTCTCTCAAATATTAATTAAGTGAACCCAACAATTTAACTAATGGCCAATCTAGTAGAAACATTAAGTATCGAGTAAAATCAACATAATCACATCATTAATCATAAATACAAAGGGGAATGAGTATTTAATCTATACAATGGTTCAAATTAATCCTAGAATCAAGGGTTTAGGAACAAATGTTCATAAAACCCATGAGAAAATACAAATATATCAGCACAAACATTGAACAAAAGGAAATGAAGGAGAATGGAGAAGAAGAACCAAGATGTGAAGTCAAAATCTCTTCCAATCTTCAAACCCAAGCTTAATCTCTACCAAAATTCATGCCTTAGTATAACATCCTAAAAATTTTCCTATGATTTATTAATCTAATAAAGGATAATTATATAAATTTAAGTATAACTAGGTTTGAGGATAGATAGAGATGACTATTGGGTTTAGTTTTAGCCTTTAGATTAGATTCGAAAGTGAATTGAGTCATCCGAGCTCAAATTATAGAGAGAGATTGGCTTTTTAGCTCACTGTGCGTTATGCTGCATCATAACAATTTACATTGCAACATAATTTCTTGAACCATTTTTTTCAACATGAAATCAGTTCAAAAGACAAAGAGTGAGACTAGAAATAGAGTGGGGGGTGACCAGGTAAGTATCTTTTTACTAGAGCATCAATTTTTAGGCATTTTGAAAGTATTTGGGGCTTGCTTTCACCTAAGTATGCCTTCTTTATCTCTTCTTCTTTCTACACATTTTTGGAACTAAGATTTAAGGTTGAGAGATGATGATTTTCAAATTTAAAGCTATAAGTCCGAACCCATTAGTCTAAATAGGACTAATGAGAGTTGTTTAAGTATTGTACACATAATTATAAGTTTTTATAAAGTTGTAAGCTTAGATCATCCATTTTAGATGAATCCCATACCACCAAAGTGTGATTTTAGATTGTTGGATATTATATTAGTGATTATTTAAGTTAATGGCAGCCAAATAAGGAGAGTTAATAAACTTAATAGTTATGCTTAAGTGGAAGAGATTGGAATTTTGG